CAAGTTGGAAAGATGTTCTCCAAGTTGTGGGTGGAAATAGAAGCTATTCATGGTATGAGTGGTTACAAATGGTACCAAAATTACTAGAATGCTACCACCTAGTGGAGGGTGCACCTATTGTAAAACATGAGAATAGCTGGGGTTATTCAGTGAATGCCAGCAAAATATTAAATATTTAGCTCATCTAAGTGATAGTGTCAACTGCTACTACAACATGCATTTCCAGTGCTCTGTATGTGCCAGTTTGGAGAATAATTTACTTGATGGGTTTTCTAACACTTCTCTTGGGATCTCTGGAATGTTTGTTGGTAAACACTTGCTTTAAAGTCACAATATAATTTCCACTGCAGCACAATATTTTATGTAATAACTTTTAACATCTCAAGCTCTGGTCTCTATTCCATCCCCTTTCCAAAAAAAAAAAAAAAAACCCATAACAGAATCAAACAAGCAACCTCCCTGCCTTGATCTGTATCTGTTCTTTTGTTTGAATCTTTCCATGTTCAGTGTCTCTCTTGATAATTTTGTTAGTGTATGCAGGAAAGTAATTTACTCTTCCTCCTCTTTTTTTTTTCTTTTTTTTTGGCCACCTTGCCACCTTTGAAAGATGAAGAAGGATGTTCTGACCAGGCTGACTGAAAGCTGCAACTTGAATTGTAAATAGTCTTCAGCAAAGTAGACTTTTCTTTCCACAGTTTAGAGGAAAAATGATTTTGGCTTCAACTATATAGTGGTTTCTTTCATGCAGGAGAAAAAGCTTTTGCATTATAAGATGGAGACCTTGAGGTTTTACTTATGAATATCTCTCCTGAGAGTTCATTTTTTTCCCAGAAGTTTGAGGCAGCAGTTGAGCTTCGTTCATTTTTTGTGTGTGCGTTGCTTTTCTTTTTGTATCTTTAGATTCCTGGTTGTCTCTCCTCTCTCTGTTATGGTTCCTTGCTATATGTTCTTTGATTCTTGTGTCAAAGCTGTTGTCAGACGTGACGTCATCGAACAGTGTCACCTTCTCACTCTTGTTCATGAGACATCGGGGGAATAGCACAGAGATACCTGTGACACAGTTTTGTGTGTGCTGCTCCCAGTCGTCTCCTAAACTGAGGTGCGGTGGCTGAAAAAGTTTGGGAGGGAGGGAAAGAAAGGAGACTTGCTGTGGACTTGCTGTTGCACTTTTTGGAATGTTCTCTAGGATCAAAACTGCCTGCCTGAGGTGTAAATATTTGTGGGATGAGAAACAGGTTGGAAAGCATTTTGCAATCTTAATGAGTGAAAGATAGAAAAAGGTGAAAGAAATGGAAGGCCTTTCCCGTGAGCCTGGTCTTCCTCATCCTAGGTGCAAGTGGTTGCTCCCTCTGCATTGTAAATTAGTGAGATTCTGGAGCCATAAATTCTGGAAACAAGAATTACTGGTCTGAGTGGATCTTGTGCTGTTCGGAGGGATGTCTGCCCCTGTCTGAAGGCTCAGTCAAATCCTCCTCACAGTGTGAGGTATGGCCGAGTCTGCTAGAGCTGTGTGGCCAGCCCAGTTTTCCATGGCTACAGGGAACGTGCTGGTGAGCTGGAGGAACGCCAGGGTAAACCTGGGCTCCCCCGGGGCGGATCGCAGGGTGTGCAGGGCCCTCGCAGCGTGTGCGAAGTCCCTGGCGTGGCCGTCCCGCGGCGGTCGCCTTTCCCACACGCCGTCCCAGCTCCCGTGCTGCTCTTCCAGTTTGGCTGCCGCGGAGCGGAGCTGCTTCTCGCCCATGCCCAAGGAGTCAGGTTCTGTGCAAAGCAGGTAGCGCTCCCACCAGCTGGGAAACCAACTGCACAGGTTGGGGTAACCACAGAGTAGCACAACTAGCTGGGAACTGGCATTTGATGATATGCATAAGGTTTCATAAGGGGCCCCTGAAACTCTTTCTTAAAAAGGAAAAAAAAAAGGCAGATCTCGCTTGTGCAGGTAAGAAATAAATACACTTAGCCAGGCACGTACACTTTTGAACATGTTCCTACCTAAATTTTGTGTCTGAATTTTGAATTAATTATTCTGCGGCGCTGAGCCAGTTTTGGAAGCAGATGTGTGGGTGCGTATCTGTGCTCTGTGGCCCGGAATGGTCTTTGCCCTTGGAGAATGCCTCTTGTTTTAAACATCATATTTGTTTTCTTGGTGTCAGCCTCATCCATTTACTTCTGCGAGTAAGGTGAGGTCATTTATTTGCAGACCACCTTATGTGGTGGTGGATGGTATGTCTTGCACAGAAAATACGATTGTCAGGCACTCAAGGACAGAATAACAGCAGGAAAGGGGCTTCAGGATGTGGTGGGGAGAAAATTCAGAAGGTAAAAAGGGGACAGATGTTGGGTGTGATTAACTGAAGCACGAGTAAACTATAGGAAAAATGACCTTTTGGAAATACTGGAAGTAGGATAAGATAAGCTTAAAAATAAGGGGTAAAAAGGAATTCATTCAGAGCAGATGCTTTCTATACATGTTGAACTTAAAAGCTGATGTTGCTGTCATGCTTCCCCTTGAGTGCCACTGATGGTGTACCTATACTGTACCCTTCTTGTTTGCTCCCGATACTTCCCATTTGAGAAGCCAAAAAATTCTGCATCTGCTCTCTTGCATTTGGGCAGCAAAGAGCTCACAAAACACCGCTCTGGGGACAGTGAAGTAGGGCCTCCCTCCAGCTCAGTCTCCTCGTGCTCTTCACTCCTCTCCATCCTAATGGAGGACATGGTCAGTCCTGGCTCTGCTTCCTGAGGAAACCCCCCTCCTTACCTCATTTACTGCCCGCGTTTGGTCAGCCTGGCGTGTGCTTGCTCCCAGGCATGTTCACAGCAGCTCCAGCATTCCTGATCTGCCCGAGGACGGGATGGCTCAGCTGGCAGGAGAAGTGACCCAGCTCGCTGCGGTCGAGTGCCAGCTTGCAGCCCACCGACAGGAACGGCTTGCTTTTTACTAAACCTAGCAAAGGAGGTGAGGTTAAAATGGACCTGGCCACCAAAGGCCAGGCTGAGGTATGAGATCGGCAGAAACACAGACCCAAATGCAGGTGAGGAGCTGATGTAATCCGTAAACTTGGATTTGGGCGTCTGAATCTGCTCCCTCACCTACAACATCAGCCGCTAGATGCTGCTACCTGCATGTAACCAAGCACTTTTCTGAGGGGAGTCCCACTTTAAATATGTGCTTATCTTGTTTTGCTTTGAATTGTAAAGCAATGCTTTCCCTTAATTAAATTTTCTTTGGCATTTCAACTTGATTTCTAGAAAGAATTGCTTATAATAACCTTTTAATTTTTGCCTCACTGTATCGAACAGATCAGTAGTGGGTCAAAACACAGAATTGGAATGGGAATGTCTAGCATGTTTGCAGGTGACCTTTCTTTTCAGAAGCCTGCATCTTCAAATTCTCTAGCATTGCACACAGATTATGGCTCAGTTGCATGCTTTAATGGCTGGATAATTAGATGAGCAATGAACTTTGTGGAAAACCTTTTGTGTAACTCAATGTCTCTGTAACCTGATCTGTTTTGATTAAAAGGTGAGATTTTTTTTTTTTTTTGACAGGTCCCTTCCCTACCCTAACCCCCCCCCCCCCCAAAAAAAAAAAAAAAAAGGTGTATTGAGGCCTCTGCTCTCTTAAGCAGCTGTACACAATAGTGGGAAACCCTGTTTAGCTCTGACACTTCTCTAATGGCCATGTATAATCACTTGTGCAAGGAGATGGGGTCAGTGCAGGCTATGTTGCAAGAGTAAGTTTCAAGCAACTAAGTGTTTGAGAACTCTCCTCTTATCTTCTGTCATTACTCCTTGCTTATGAAAGGCTTGTAATGGGAAATCTAGGCAGTTCTGAGACAAGCACATGTTGTGCCGCTGATGTCAGCTGGGGAACTGGGAACAGTGCTGCTAGGGTTTCTAAATCCCTGTAGTTACTAAGCAGCTCCTGGACTCGCGGATGAATGCGAAAAGGCCTATTAGCCATGCAGTGCTTTGGCTGTCAGCAGGAGAGGGCTCAAAGCAAGGAAAGGTTCAACTTTCAGAAAGCACGACCTGCTAAGCTCGTGTCCTGGAACGGTTGCTGGAAAGCGGCGCCGAGGATGCAGTTACATGCCGTGCCTCGTTGTCAGCTTTCGCCTCTAGATCCAGCCCAGCTTATTTCCCATTTACACATGCACTATTTGTATAGAACTTGGAAGGGGTACAGCTCTGCCCCTTTGTTTGCCTTAAATGCCTTGTCTGTTTTACTTTTTTGAACACATGTTATGTCTTCAGCAATGTTAATGCAACAAACTGATAAGAGCAGGGAGGAGGAGGTTGTTAAGATGGACATCTTAGGTATTTTTGCCTGCTTGATAGAGGAATTGTGAAATCGTGAGGGATGCTATTTATTGCACCCTGGCCTTATATTTTGGCTGCAGTGTGGTATCAAATAGTGTGTGTCAAAGGCCTACATGTGAACAAACTTCTGCGTTTTTTTTTCCTGCTTATATCATATATAAAAAATTCCTTTAACTGTGCTTGTGTTTGTGCACCAATTTGGCTCACAAGGGCCTTTATGTTCTCTTTAAAAATATATTTCTATCTTCTTTCAGTTTCTCAGCTAACTTTATTAGTATACAAATGCATATTGCTTTCATCCATATCACTGCAAATCCATGTATCTTTGGAACAGCACATTTTTAATATTAGTGACCTCATCATCTTTGGTGTCAGCATTTTGTGTTCCCTGGTAAAAGCAATAATGCTACACTTAAAAGAGTGTCTCAAGAGTGCAACTGTATTTTGGCAGAGAAGGCGTATGATTACAGACTTTTAATGATCTTGCTAATTGAGTTCTCTGGTGTTCTGATCTTTTTTCACAGTGAGTTAATGTCTTGGGTCATAGATAGCAAACCAGAGAGGGACCTTGATCAGAGGCGGTGCCTGTGAGCGTGTGTGAGGCCTTGCTGAGGGATGTGCTGACCGTTGTGCCTTGGTGGAGAGTGTCCCACTGAAAGCTTCTCTCTGTTTGCTTGCAGACAGCCAGTCTGATGCGGAGACACTAGCGACAGCAAATGAAGTGTTGGATCTGACCTCCTGTGAGAAGGAACAGGCAGAGGAAGTACCAGAGAGCGAATGCAGTCCCAAGGAGGAGCACAAGGCTGACTCCCCCCCAGGAGAAGAGGAAGCGGAAGAAAAAGCAAATGAATATGAAGAGGGCCCTGAGGAAGATTCTGTAAGTAATAAAAGTCTTGACCTCAATTTTGCCAGCAAATTAATGGACTTCAAACTGGCAGAGAGTGACCAGAGTGCAGGCAGCAGTTCTCAGACTGAAAAGAAACATGCCTGTGATGTCTGTGGCAAAACCTTCAAGTTTGCTGGCACTCTCAGCCGTCACAAAAAGGCCCACACTCGTGAGGACAGAAAGGATGAAAGAAGCAGCGAGGATGAAAGCAAAAGCATCCAGGATGATGCAGGTGCTCCCGCAGTGCAGGACTCTGGTCTTGATCAGGAAGAGTCTCCAATGGACTTGAAGGTGGTAGAGTCTCCTGTGGACTGTGAGGCCACAGGAAAGGAGAATGAAGAGAGTGAAAGCATCTCTGAGGGGGAAGGCACAGAAAGAAAGTCCAGCGAGAGGAGCAGTGATGACAAAAAACCAAAGACTGATGGGGCTAAGAGTACTGCAAAAGCAGACAAAAGAAAGAAAGTCTGTACCGTGTGCAACAAGCGTTTCTGGTCTCTGCAGGATTTGACGCGACACATGCGGTCTCATACAGGTAAGAGGAGAATGCAGGGCAGAACAGATTACAAGCAGGTCTGCTGCCAGATGCCTTAAACATCTGCTGTGGGTGCACGATTGCTGCTAGCACTGGAGGTGAGAGACATTTTGTCAGTTCTACAAGTATCCTTAAGGTGCCTTCCCTGCTCTGGTCCTCCATGCTGCTTATGTAGCATGTTGAGGGAGCAGGAATAGTCAGCTCCACTGTACCTTCAGCTCCCAAACCATTTTCTACAGGGCCTGCTGCAGAATTCGGAGGTTAGGGAAAGTATGGAGACGCCTGTGCAGTTGTTTTGCCCAGTTTCCCACCCCCATCTTGTTATGTGTGCATGGCTCAGCCTCTTCCCACTATTCTGTTGAGCAGCGGAGAATCGTGGTAGTAGATGATAGCACTTTCACTCAGTGAAAGCCAAGAGGGAGAGAGTCTGTTTTTGTCTGCTTATCGAAGCCTGGTACTGGTAACGTGCTGGTGAACTGCACGGCCTGCTACTTGAGTGAAAGACAAAGCTACAACTGGCATCTTGCTCTTCATTCAGGCCTGGGCACAGAAAGTGGAATACAGATAGGAAAATTCTTCTTTGATGACTTGTGCAGTTAAAATATGTGAAATGGCTCTGTGTGAATTCATTTTTTTAGCAAGGCAGATGAAGTTATGAGCCAGACTGAAGGTGAATTAGTTATTCATCCTTACCAAGGCATCCATGAAGCATTTCACCTGCAAGTGAAATGGAAGAAGTGGTACATTTTGATCTTTCATGTTTTTTGGTGGTGCTCTCTGCTGAAGACTATATCTTTATGATTAACTTTAGGCACAACAATTTTCCACTGTAATGAAGATGTTGTTTAATAAGTACAGTGAAGACTGTTTTAAAAAGTGCCTTTTTCTTACCTGAATCATAAATGGTGACCTCTCAAGTGCAAAACTGACTTGTGTCCTTCTGACACTGAGGAGTGCAATCCTGAGCTGAGCCACAAAGAAAATGAGGAACTGGTCCCATTCTTGGGCGTCTTTTCATAGTAATTCAAAAGCCTTGGGAAGATTCACGTATCTAAACTTTTGAGCTTTACTCTCAGATGGTACCATTACATCCCTTTGGAGGTTGCCCTCCTACGTGTTTTAAATGTTTTCATTGTATGCTATGGTATGTAGGTCTTGTCAGTGTGTTTTTGCTTTTTTTCTCTTTCTGGTTTGATGCCGAAGGATGTCTTAACCAAGCATGTAGTCGTATTGAATAGGAACCTGGGTCAGTGCTTTCTTCAAATACAAGAAACAAAAATACCAGGAATCCTCCACTGTTTTAATTAAAGGCATTTTCAACAGCGGGTTTTGTCAAAGTGCTGTGGATTGACTCTTGCTTCTTATTTCCTCCCAATCATTGAGACATTTATTGACAAAATGCTGTGTGAATGAAATAGTGCTTAGGTTTTTTTTTTGGTTGTGATGGTTTTTTATTTTCAAAGATACTCGTGGCAAGACTAATGAATATCTTATCTCAGAGGAGGAATCTTCGGGGCACACCGAAGTGCACTGACAGAGATTGTGTCACACGTCTCTGGACATCAGGGCAGAGGTTTTTCCATTGCACAGAGCAGGCAGCTCCCCAGGGACTTGCTCGCAGGATGCTCTTGTGTCGCATTCCCAACTGAGGGGGAGGTCACAAAACCTGCCTGTGAAACCTGTCTCTTCAAAAACGTCTTGGTGCAGAAGTGTGTTCCCATGTTCAGGCCTTTTTACAGTCCAAAGCACTGCTATAACTGAGGAGTTAGCCCCAGACATCTTATCCGTGTGTTCGTTGGCACAAGGTGAAATCTTGATGGAATTGCACCACTGAACCATCTTTAATAGCTCCAAACAGAAGCAGAGATGAAACAGAGTGGGATCTTCAGAGAGTTCATCAGGGCAATAGGGCAGCACTAGCATATACTGCCTTGGGGCATTGCCCAAGCGCGTTCTTGCCTTGCTTGGGAGGTTGGGGGAGTTTTGTCTGTGGGGCAGTGGTTGCTTTGTTTTTCGGTGAGCTAATGCTTAGGAAAGTATTGCAGCATTTCAGGTGCAAAAAGCCATTCAGATCAGAGCAAACTACCTGCTGATTACAGCATGCGATGCCTGCAGCTATTCTGCAGCGTGGTGTTTTAAAGTAAGGCAAAGAATTTTTTTCCTGAGAGTATCATTTCTCAAGCAGGCCTAATGGGGCTTTTAAGGTGTTTTTACATGTAGTTCTTATCAGAAATCCACCAAAAAAAATCAGTTAGCTGAAGAACATGAACAGCTTTGTATATAAAATCTCAAAGCATATGTTTTTCACTTGGTCAGTACAGCTACCTTGTCCCCTCGGTGCCTTACAAACCTAGGTCTTTTAGCTGGCTCTCTGTTTCCATTTTGAAACCTAGTGAAATTCTGCCTCACAAGAAGATGGTGTTTTCCTGCATCAAGGATAATTCTTGACAGCTTCCCTTCTATTTAGCCAAGTAGCCTGTGTGTTTCCTACTTACCTGTCTGTCAGCATGAGACACAGAGAAGCTTTCTCAAACGCTGTTGGGTTTGCTGTTTTCAATGCTGTTGACCCCGAGTATCTGGACAGTGTCGTTACCGTTGCACCTCGGGCTGTTGCGGGAGCTGAGCAGTAGCGAGGAGCGCCCCGGGGAGCTGCCAGGAGAGCTGCTGGAGCTGCACAGCTTTGCAAATGCTCTCAAGCTCCAGAGGACGACTGCAAACTTCTTCCAGAAAACTTGCTAAGTAAATCAGGTGGGATGTGAAAAGCAGCCGGGGATTCCTCCCTCCTTAGTGTAGGGTCCTATCAGAATTGTGGAAATCTCAAAACAATTAGTTCTTATGTTCTTTTCAGGATTTTTTATATATACTTCCTGGCATACTGTGCGCCGCTTCAGTAGTCTGGGAATTAAGAAATTGCATAAATGAGGCACCCAAGTTTCATAAAGCAAGTGAATTTCCAAAGTGTAGAGCACCATACTCTGCTTGAAATGAGAAAGTAGTGCTTTTATGATCTCACGGCTGACTTCTGATTTTAATTCTCTTCTAGGCGAGAGACCGTACAAATGTCAAACCTGTGAACGGACCTTCACTCTGAAGCACAGCCTGGTTCGTCACCAGCGCATACACCAGAAAGTCAAAAATGCTCGAAACCACGGGAAGGAGAGCGACAAGGAGGAGACCCAGTCGCGGTGTGGAGAAGACAGCGAAAACGAGTCCAGCCACAGCGGCACCAACCCCGTCTCGGAGAACGAGTGCGACTCGGCCGCCGGCGCTGGTAGCCACTCGTCTGTCACGAGGAGCCGCAAGGAGCCCCCGGGCGGCGCCGCCGCCAAGGACTCTCTCGGCCCAGAGGAGAGGCCTAGCGGGCGGACGGCCGCCGCCGGCCTCGCGGAGCCCAGCAAGAACGCACAGAAAGCGCCGTCGAAAGACCAGGAACCCCGGGGTGGCTCCGAGCACGAGGCGCCGTCGGATTTCTTTCAAGACTTGCTGGAGATGCACAACAGAAAATCCCCCATGAATCACATCCTCGCCTCCGCAGACAGCGCGCCTCAGCTCTTGGGGGTCGAGTGACTTGCTCGTGGATTGGACCCGGCCCAGCACACGAACTACAGCCAGCAGCAGAGCAAGGTTTCTGGAGCCCTGTCTTGGAAGAGAGCAGCCTTACAGCTGTGGGGAGAGTATGGCAGACTGGATTGCAGTGCCATATGCCTTTCAGTATAATAATGCAAGAGACTACAGTATATACTGATTTGAGTGCCTTACTACTTTATTAGATCTTTTGGTATCATAGATTTTTTTTTCAAAAATGATTTTTTTTAATATTTTAATGAATTATTTGGAGAGGACCTTTTTCATTTAAGCATTAATGTTACCTTTTGTATTGGTGCGTGTGAGCTTGTTCTTGTATATCTGTGATAGTCGCTGTGTTTGTTCTCTGAGCTGGAAATGGGGGCAGTGGGGTGGGAAGCCCTTGGATACCGCAGCCAATAACTGGAAGAAAACTTATGTGAATTTCACACAGAATTGTCAGAGGAAATGCAGAGGGGATGTTGATTTTTTTTTTTTTCTCAGTAGATGTTCTTGTCTTTGCCACATGGTGGAGCATTAAGTCTGTTCCAGGCATGAACAACGTGGCAGTTGAAGGTGTTCAAAGTCGTTCAAGCCAAAAGCAGGAAACACAAAGAGTTTCGACCTCATACTCATTTCCACTTTTCAGCATTAGAAATGGTGTTCTAGCTATAAGGGTTCTTTTTCTGGCCATCGTGGACTGAGTGTGTGTATACAGAGAAGAGTTACATAGCAACGTAACCTATGGAAATTATGCACCCGCTGTTATATATGTTTGATTTGCTTCAGTATATTATTATTATTATTTTATTATTATTTTATAAATTCATCAGTTCGCTTGTCTCTGCAGTCAGCAGAAACCAATGGGCAATATTTGCCCACGCAGATGTATAATGCAGCTTGGATCCCCTCTTCAAATGTTTTTGACTTCAGCTTTCACCAACTCCTCTTCTTATGTTGCAGCTCTTCTACTGTACTTTACAAGGACCCCTTCCTCTGACCGGAGAGTCGATTGGAGGCCAGCAAGTTATCATCACACATGTACAGGGGAACATCTCACGCGTGCTGGGGTGTGAGTGTGGGTGAGTGTGTGCGTGTGTGTGCGTGCGTTGCAGGGGGGCCCGGGAGAAGAAGTGTGTGCGAGAGGGGTCGCGGCGGGACCCTCCGAGCGCGACAGAAAGGCGCTGCGAGCACCACCTTGGTCTTGCTGCAGTCACGTCCATGGCGACACGTGTTACTTAAAGAGCAAAGTTATTCAGTCTTCCAGTTGAAAGAAAGCAAGAGGGAAGTGCGAGCCTGACCGTGATCTTGCTACTGTCATGTTCTAGAGCAAGAAAATACTACTGGTAATGAAACTACAGACATAAGACATGTTAAAAATAAATAAAATAAATTAAAAAAAAATCTTCCTGAGATTTTGGGGTTGATGCTTGAAGACTTGAGGTGTGTGTCTAAATTTCATATCAATAACTTAACCCCTTTAATGCTGGGAGCTGGAATTTCTCCACATGGCTCCTGTTGCCGGCAACAGGTGACACTCCAGCCGCCAATATTTAAGGGGTTAAGCGAAATGTATCCTACTGTAGCTGCGCATTTCTAGGAGTGCGCGGCATTTTTTGTCTTTTTTTCTTTTTTGTTGTCGTTTTTTGTTGTTTGTCGATTGTCCTTCAGTCATGACCTCTGGGACAGACAGAGCCATACTAGCATTGCCGGAGCCTCACTGTGCTATTCCACCACGTCAGCCCCCCCAGCCCGCACTGTGATCCTCCCTCCCCTGCAGAGCCGCTGTTCCTGCTTTCATCACACATGGAGGAAGTGGGCCTGAAAGCCATTCTATATTATATAATATATATCTATATATATCTATATCTATATTAAAAAATTCTCCGAAAATTTCTGGAGGCTGAAATCTTTAACTGTCCAGAATTCAAAGGAAGAAAAACGTTCTTGAGTAATATTCTTGCAAGTAGAATGAGAAAAAAAATGGTTGAGGTATATGTGATTTTTATTTTTTTTAATAGGGATGTATGAACCAGTTCAGAAACATAGTTAACTCCGGATAGATTAATAAATCAGAACCAATGATTCTTTTAAAACTCTACCCAGGTGCATTCTGCTTAATTAAAACCAGTTCACGCATCCCTTAAATTGTTATTACTATTATAATTATAATAATTATTATTATTATTTTGGGTATTTTTTGGTTTTTGTTGTTTGTTTTTTTTCCTTTCGTTTTTTTTTTTTTTTTGCAACTCTCCACACTAAACCGCGCAATACTGTGGGGGAGAAGCCATTACTAAACTATATGCTGCAGAACAATGTAGCAAATAATTAATTCCCAGCAACCTGCCGGGACATCTGCTAGCAATAATCACTATTGATTTAAAGCTTTATTTAGCCTTTATCTATATCCTAGTAGAGTATAAGGTCTTGCCACATTTTATTGACATTTTTATTAGTTGAGTTTGACTGAGAACTGTTGCTGTTGTTGGGTTTTTTTTTTTCTTGTTTCCCCTCCTCCCCCAATATTAAACTGTGAAATTTATAATGTGTTTAAACTATGGGTGAATCTTAGGCTTTAGTTTGCATGTTCAGCTAATTTGTCTCTATACAATTTTTGTTTGAATCTTTTTATTTTTTCCTCTCTCAGGGCTTTTACAAAAAACAAAAAACAAAAAAAAACAAAGGATCTTCTGAAATTCTTTTGCCTGAGTTGCAATGGACTAAACATTAAGATAATTCAATCACTACATTAAGCACTTGACTGTGAAAGCGCGCAAAAAAAAAAAAAAAAGAAATAAAAAGAAAGAACCTTGTTTGAGGCTATTCTGAAATACCTTTTTGGGGCTATGTGACAGTCTGATTCCATTTTCAGAATGATTCATAATTTTCTCTCTTCTCTGTGTGTCTCCTTTCTCTCCGCTCTCTATCCACGAAGGAAGTTTAATCCTAGTGATTTCATCCCGTGCAGGAAACAGTAATAAATGTGTAGAATTCATATTTTTCTAAAGGGAACTTAAACTGCTGCTACGAATTGTGTACAAGACTGGTTTATGCCACATGAACAGAGAATCACACATTTGTTTTGGTACTTTTATTCCTCTTTTTATTCAGTTGTACAGTACTTCCAAATTCAAAATAAAAGTAAGAGTTGTTCTGTATCAAACCATCTAAGCAATAAAATGTTATATTTAAAAATTATAGGTTACAAAATGGGCGTGGCTCTTCTTGTGGGCTCGTTGAAACTTGCTTTGAAACATTTCTGTTAGAGGACAACATACCAAACGGAGTTCATCTGCGTAATTAGTGTTACTGTTTCTCTTCCTTCGGTTGGACTGAGTTTGAATTAAGAGATATTTGCAGCACATTGAAAGTCCGTGTTCCATTTGCCATGCAGTCTTCTAGTAGGCAAAACTCTTTGAAATGGTGCTCTTCTGTAATTGCATTTTCTTAAAACAGCAACCGAAGACAGAAAAAAATAGTACATTGGTGCTGATTTTCCTGTGCAGGTGTCAGGTCAGAGGTTTTTGTTTTGTTTTGAATTCTAGCCCCATGATCACATGAGTGAGTGCCTTTCTGAGGGCACCTTATGGTTTTTAACAATATGTCAGTCGTTCTCTGTATAAATGAAGTAGGTTTCTGCCATTATAGTTTTATTTTTGCGTAAATGTACATGGCTGTGAAATCTTCAGGATGTATTCGAAAGCCACATGCATGTGTCAAAAAAAAATGAAAACTTTTGTTTTAGCTTGTGGGAGCCACCTTAGTTGCATTTTAAGTGCTTTCTTCTGAATAAAATGCATTTCACAGGATGATCAGCCAAAGAATCCTCTGAGTTGCGTATCCAATTCTAGATGCCAGGGCCTCGTAGAGCTTTCAAGCATCTGCATCTTCTTAAGTCCTTGTGGGAATCTGTCTGGTAGGGAAGCAAACCACATTGAGAATCAGAGAGGTGTTTCCAGGAGGCTAAACTGCTTCTAGTTTCCTTCCTCCTGGACCTTAGCGGCAGCGGTTGAGATGTTCTCAATTGCTTTCTTGGGTGAAGAGCTGGTGCCTCACCACTGAGCAGGAACCGATTAGAAGAAAACCCGTCAGTTTGGCAGCTCTGTCCCAAAGCAGGAAATCACATGAAGCAGGGCTCCTGCCCTCCCTCTGGGTGGAGTGCGAGGATGGAAATAAGATCTATGAGGGAGGAAAGCTGCAGGTCGCGTTCTTCCTACTCCCACCCACTGGCCTGAGAAATTGCCAGTCCTCTAATATTAAAGTCTATGAGACTGATGGAAAGGGGTTGTTGTGAGGCACAAAATAAACATTTAGAGGCTGAGCTTATGTGGCTAGGAAGTGACTGTGTATGAACCAGGGGACCTGCCAGTGCTTGTTGCTTGGCCGCCGAAGTTGTGTGCTTGGCAAGTTGTGTGCCCAGCCCATTTCTCTTCCCAGTTACCTTTGAACTTGACCTGACTGACTTGGACCATCCCTTAGTTAGAAATTGCCTTGTTCACGCTGTGCTTTGTAAGGGAACGTCCTGCTGGATGACTAAACTTTGCTCCCTGCTAGTTTATCCCTCTTTTTTCTCCTCTCCTACTCACACTTGCTCCTATGGCACTGATTTTCTACCACTAGCCTGAAATGTCCAACTTTCCAGGAGGATCGAGGGGGAGCAGGGTTGCTTCCGTCTGTTTTGTCCAACATGCTGCTTCCTCGCCTTGCTCCCTAGCTTTTACTTTAAAGATGAAGCTTTTAAAGGTAGTCCTCGAAACCATGACTGGCCCGGAGAGAGCAGCACAGCTGCTCTGCCAGGGAATTAACTCTCACGTGTAGAGTCCAGGTGCTCCCTCCAAAGCACTGAGGTTTCAGGGAAGACCAAGATCTTCCCCTGACATCAGCAGAGAAGGTGGAGGATGCCTGGGCTGGAAGGGGAACCAGCAGGGTGGCTTTCTCAAAGTCTAAAGTGCAAAGCTTTAGCAGGTGGGGACAGGAGCATTGGTGCAAAATACCAGGGCTGGGCGGAAACCTACTGTCCTGAAGCAGGACTGGAACCTGGCTGGAGAGTCCCTTCCATATGTACTGATACTGAAATGCAAACTGGTGAAGAGAAAGGAATAAAATTATTGTTTTGACATTACCCAGCTGTACCAAATACACAGCGTTGGAATGTATACACCAATGTGTTTGTGCATGTATACATACAGGGAGGCCTTCGGGCAGTGAGCACCGTGAGGACTGATTTGCTGCTGTCACTGTTAAAATGATAACGTTTTGCTCTGATTCACTGAAATAAATGTAATTCTTAAACAAAATTAGACACGTCAAGATTCAACTAGTAATGAAAAGCAAAGGGCAAAACTTTACTTGAAACCTTTTCCTCGCAGCTCCCAAAGCCTCCAGGTCAGGGAATCACATATGCTTT